TTCTTTAATTATAATACATTTCTAACGTCTTCTATTTTTTAAAGTATTGAATATTTTTGGTGCATCATCATAGAAGATTTTGCCTTTACAAGGTATTTGTCCATCTTACATTAGCACATAAAAAATTTGAACGTCTTACATGAAGAAACCTAACCTACGGTAAACACGTGGTTGCAGAGAAATGTGTTCTGAAAGGGGTTCTGTGGTTGTGTTCTGTTGTTCGAAAAGGTTTTTAACAATACTGGTAAATAGGGAAGCTAGATAACGGGGCAGATGTTGAAAATAATGAAAGATACAGGCAGAAAAGTGAAACGGATTTTATTCTAAATGGCGTAATTCTAAGCTTTGTTTGAAAATGCGAGAAATCCGCGATTTTTGAAAACGATTTATAGAATCCGCGAATTTCTCGCGGTAATAACTTTTTAATGCGAGAAAAGAAAAAAATATGCGAGATTCTCGCGCTGTAGTGAAAACACTGTATTGGGCCTACTTAAAATTTAAGCTACAGCTGGGAAATAGAATGAGAGAAATGCAAACTGCAATTGAGGTGATTTGGGCTACTGTGACAGATTATGATTCAGCAAGTTTTGAATATCTGGCAAGGAACCAGTGATTTTCTTTATTTGCAATCATACTTTAGCATCTGGCAATCAAAAGCTTGTTTACTTCAATAGCATTGTGTTTATAGCATTTTCTTTCTCATTTAATTTGATTTTTTCAAATTTTAAATAGATAGTTCAATCAACTTATCAACTTCTTATCGAACTTCTTATCGAGCTTATCAACTTCTGAATCAGAAATGGTAACAGAACATACAGGAATTTAATCTCATCATTAATTATTTTACAGGGTGCATAGCCAAATTATTCTACAAAAAATAAGCACCTTTTAAAACACTTTTCAAGCACTAAAAAAATATTTTTAAGCACTTTAAAAAAATACCATAATTAGGCAAGGTTGGAAAGTTTTTGACAATTGACGGTTTTATCTTGATTTAACTGTCATGTCAAACAACAACAAAAAAACTTTTGGCAATTGTCAAAAATCATGAAATTTTGAATCATGGAAAACGAATGGAGATTTCATACGCTACGGACTGACAATACGCCAAAATAGATTGGGGTTGAATTAATTGTGATAATGTTGAATAGAACAATGTGAATTATTTCTTTTTTTGCATAATTCATAGCGAAAATGGTAAAGGAAATCAATCAACATGGTAAAGGAAAAATCTCATTTTAAAAAAAGGGAAAACTAAGTACTTTTTCAAAATACCCAATGAAAAAAAGCACCTTTAAGGGCTTTTAAAAATGAAAATAAGAACCTTTAAGCACTTTTCAAAAACGCTACACACCCTGTCTTAAAAGATATAACTATGTTACAATAAGTTGAACTGGTAGTTCAAGTGCTAGCATTTTTGTTGACCTCTTAAACTTTTATATGAATACTAATAACTAAAAACATTTTAACACTTGCAATGATGAAATATAGCTGGTCTATTACTTTACGAGGTGCTTATGTCATATCTGATGATGAATCAGAACTGAATCACTCAGTGCGTCAAAGAAAAGCAAGCAGTGTTCAGAACCATGACATTGCCACTTGAACTGCTTTAAAATCTAAGCTATCACCATGAAAAGTATTTAATGCAAACTAAGGGAAATTCTGCAGTTGTTGGAAAGTATACATGGGCCATTCGGGCCCGAATGATATGAAGGTTGTGCATTACAGTCGTATAGTAACAACCTCTGTCATGTCAGAAGTTGAGCATATTTAATATGATATTTCGGTGATGGTAAAACTTATTATTATTCCTAAGTTTTTAGTTTATATTCAATGAAATATCACATTTAACAGTCAAGTTATCAAGGTAGTAAAGTAAAAAATAAACAGCTATATACCCTTAAAACTGCTTATTTACAAAGGCTTTTCAACATAGTTTGTGCCCATAATCGCTCAAATTAAATATCATGAGATATAAAACTTTCTAAACATATAACATTAAAAATGTCAACTGTTTCAACATGAATTTGTCATAACAGGCATATCAAAACAAAACCTGAATATTAATTCAAATTTAAATAAATAAAACAGATTAATGTAATCAATTAATGCACATTAAATACTTACTTTTTCTGTAATTCACCAATATTAGCTCGAATATTATTCAATTCAATGAGTGCTTGAGCTTTTTCCTTACTGGTTGCATCAAGTGCAGTACGTAACCCACCGATTTCCGAAAAATACTGTTCTTTAGTAGTCTTTATTTCCCTCTCGTATTTCTCTTGAATCGTAGTGACTTGACCACCAAGCCGTGAATTTTCATTTTCTAAAAATCGTACCTTATCAATGTAAGTAGCCAAACGATCGTTCAAATTTTGCAGCTGCAATTTTTCTTCCATACGAGAAACACGGGCCGGGCTAAGAGGAGTATTTTTCTTAGATTGGGAAGTACTGGCTCCAGCTGACTGCACAGGAGTGGACGCAGTCGATTTTCTTGTTTTTGAAGACATGATAATAACTTTATTATTACTAAAATATAGATAATTATAAGCCGGTAAACCGCACCCCACACGAAGCTAAAATGGCAATTTCGCGGCGGTTAAATTTAGCCGTTAGTTGCCAAACGCTAGAAATTAAAATAACAAGTTTTGAAATTAGGACAAGCTAGTGATTCAACGTTTAAAACGGTCTAGTTCGTAAAGTCGACGAGGGTTTCGTGGTAGATTCCTTTTCGGGGACATTCTTACTGCATACAAAAAATTTGGGAATTCGGTATGA